CCGGGTGACAACACTCCCGATCGTTCAAAGTTTCTGTTTGAATGGCAAACACAATATTTTGCCATACCCTACCCAGCCTTATCGATTTCATTTCATTGCTGTTTACATATGACATGGCTGCAAGCATCGACTCTCGCTAGCTCTCTCTCTCGTTCTCTGTGTTTATTCACAACAATGGGGCTCCACGAGCACGGCATAATACTTTGTTTAAATCATGTATCAAAGTGGTTTTTTTGTATCTGGCGCATGGAAAGAGATACCAGGATTTTTAGCTACTGTCTGCACACCGTGGCAGCAAAGACCAATATACCACAGGCGACACCTTGTTGCCCAATATAGTAATGTGTTGAAATTAACTTCAAGTGTATACAAACATATAGGGCATTACAATAGCGTGCAACAAGATGTCGCTGTGGTATATGCTCTTGCTGCCACGGTGTGACTGTCTGTAATAGTTCATGGTATTTTTTGCTATGGAATTTAAATAGTGGCGCCAGCGCGTGCCTTTTGATACAGATTTTCCATTGCCGAAAGGCTGTAAAGTTAACGTTTGATTGATTTTGATCAATAGACAGCCGAGAGAGAGAGAGAGAACAAAAGAGGCAAATATTTTTCAACAATGTTTTACAAACCCATTCCAAAATTGGCAGTATATTTTGCAAACTAAAAAACCCCAATTTAAGCGTATTAATGGAATTTGAAAGAAAATTATAAAAAGCCGATTTCATTTTCGATTTTAACGCACTGAATGTTGCATTCATCGCAATGCGAAAAGGGATTACGAATGAAATTCGTTTGTATTCCATTGTGTGCCTGCTGCTTAAATATTCATGTCGAATCAATGGCAATCAAGCTAAAGGCTGTTGTTTGATGTGTGTAACATGCTGTATGCTTGGTACTTGGTTCTTGTGTTCATCCATAATCTATTCCGTTACTTTTACAGTCGCAGCCAATACAGCTCACTTCCGCCATCCAATACACACACATATTGATTTTTCCTCCCATTCGTTTTCAGTTTACATTCAAAACGATGGATCATGGTTCGAACAACAGCAATCGAATTGGCGTTCTCGTTGCCATTGATTTTATTTTCTGCTTAGTCAATGGAATTCTTGTGAGTTTCGTTACTAGCAACCATGACATTAAATTCCGTCGAAGGAAAGAATGCTACGAATCACAGCTGACAGCCCAACCGTTTTTATCGAATGCCACTGCCAGAGCTGAGAGCATCGAGCAGAGAAAATACGGAACGAAGCAACGGATGATTTCAATGAAATGAAATGAAAACCATCTATTTATTATTGTCTGCACAACATATATGTAAACTTCATTTGATTCATTTTGACTTCGTCGAATGAGTGCAAGAGAAAGAGAGAAAAGGCGAGAATGGGAGCATTGTGAGCAAAAACACGCTCAATGCTAAAACGCTGAATATAATCCAAATGAAAGAGAATATCATTTTATGATTCTCGAATTTTGCTGTCCTTTTATTCAAACACTCCGAAATAAATGAACCTTTCCATTGGTTTTGCCACAGTTGTCGTCGTTGTCGTCTCGTTGTCTTTTCGAAACATTTCAACTTGGCATTTATTTCGTCAGCTTTTCAATGAATTATCGCTCACTCCACTCCAGTTTGTCTCTAAACCGGAATTGAAGATAAATTTGATTTGGCTTGAATTTGGTGAGATGCTGCACATCTGGATCTATTTTAGACTAATTAAATAAGTTTATTCTTCTTTTGTCTCTCCATCTATGGCATGTGGCATATTCTGTATTCGAGGGCATACATTTTGCGTGTCAACATTTATTCAATTAATAGACGTTCAATCTGTTGAACACATTTTGAACTCGAAATGAAAGTTTCGTGAAATGGTTTTCGGTCGCAACCAGTTGTTATTCATCTGTAGGCTGTCTTCCATTTCATTTATCCATCATATTAAATCCGTGGAATGTGCAAATTTTGTGTGTTTGTGTGCTTCGCAAATGAAGCTCACCACTTTTCAATAACATTTTCAACTGAATTATTTATGCAAAACTGTTATTGCCGCCTTTTGTCTAAACTGCGTCTCTGCACAACTGCTGCGTTTCCTTGATTTCAATCTCTAGATCGTATTTTCACTTCGGGTAATTAAATAATCAGTTGAGCTTCATGCATGTAAAACGTACACCTTCATTTGACTTCACTTCATATTTGCAAAACGGATTTGTGTGGCTCTTGTGTGCCCTGGAGGGTGAACACTGAACACACTTATTGTCTAGAATTATGACAAAAGATAAACGACTAGAGCGGGTTGAGACGCACAATAAATTAAATATATTTGATGTTGATTTACATGCACGAACAACCGAAGGGTTGCAACAGTGATATGATCGCACATGGCACATGAGCACCACTCTTTACTGATTGCCATTATTGAAATGTAAATGAATAGAATGCCTACTTCTTCTTCTTCTTTTTCCCGACATCAATCGCATACGACTTATGGTAACTCTGCGTAATCATTAGAGGTGGCGCTACTTATGCGCATCAATTGACTTTTGCATTGGCTCTTATGTACTGTGGGCGCCTTTTGACGAACAACAATCCAATGGAATGTTTGAAATGCGGAGTGTACGAGCTAGAGAAAAAGTGACACGGAGATAGAAAGGAGCAAAGCTTTTCACTCGATGTAAGACAAGCTGTAGACGTGCAGATTGAAGATAGTTTCCGATGGAACAAGATAGATGTATTCAAAGAATGTTGATGCTCATTTAACGTTTACATGCTCTCGGCTATTTAAAGTCGATTATTATTCGAAGAGCGAAGAAGACCTACTTTGTGTAATATGGCTGATTCGCTTGATGCTTTGTTAAGTCATTTAACGAAACTGATCCATTAAAATGCGCAAATTCTCTCCCTCTCCCCCCTCTCTCTCTTCACACAAATGATAAATGAAAATGACATTTTAGCATGTACATAATCGCACAGATCAAATTATCATTTCCGATTTAGCAACAAAACAACTATTGTTTTGTTTGGATCACGCGCGCCTCGAGGAAATTTGAAAAACGTGCCGCTGAAATCTCGCTCCAAACATCGATCGATCCTATCCTATGCGCTATGAAATTCAGAATTTTCGCCAAAAATTGTATTTTGATTTTTAAAGACCAAACAAGCAAATGGTTTTTTCGGTCATGAATTTTGCTCGCGCTCTTATCACCACCATTGACCACATAAATTCGTCATGAGCAGAAGTGTTCGTTCTTTTGTTCAACTGTACTGTTGAGTGAAGTGTAATTAAATCCATCTTCATTGCAATCATTCATACGCATTTCATTCGAGGCGTACGGATATAATTGCAATTGTGTGCGCAAGCAAAAGCACAAGTAACTTTGTGTTGTGCAAAGTGCTGAAACCATGCGAAACAACTTCCGTCTGCCTCGGCTCGGCTCGGCTGCGGGCAAATGAATGCAGATTCATTCAAGAGAATGTGCACTTTTGCACATCAAGCGAAATTAAATCGAAATAGACTAAATGCAGTCAGCGGCAATGAAGAATGAGTCAACCGGGAGAGAGAGAGAGAGAAAATAACGAATGAACAGAAAAAAATGCGGCCATGCCATGAACTTATTTTGACCACCAGCTGATTTGTAAAGCGTAAGCTCATCAGTTGAATCACGTTGAACTTTGCCGACGGTCGGTGTGAACACAAGTGGAAAAGAATAAATCATTCTATGCCATACACGAAGTACTGGCACGATGCAGCAGCAACTGTCTCCCATTCATGGTGATGGTGGTGGTGGTGGTGTTGGTAATGATGAAAGTATGTTTATGATGCTCTCGATGTGAAATGGCCTCTTTTTCTGCACTCATGACAGACCTTTCATCCAACGCATGCTTTGTCAGAATGGCCTTTTTCGCTCTCTCTCTCTCTCTCTCTCTCTCTCTCTTTCGCTCGTTCAGTCCTTGTTTATTGCATTGTTTACACAATTTTGTAACTCTATCGCCGATCGGCATCGGTTTTCAAGCTGGTACACATTCATCTGCCAATGCCAATTATCCCGTGCTCATACCGTTGGTGACCTTTTGGCTACCAGTTTGTATGTCCACGAGACCATGACAATGCAAAAGTATGTGCTCAGCTGGCAAGTGAACGGAAGAAAAGTAAATCTCGCTGTGAAACAAAAAGGAAATAGAATGTAGACATATTCGCAATAACTGGCAATTGATTAATGATGATCACCGTTTGCGTTTGCATAAAAGCCCATCGTTACACTTACACCCCCACACTGATTTCGTATTCAAATGCTCTCCATCATCCTGCCACTTGTGATATTCTATTGTTTTATTTTTTGCTTTTGACATCATCACTCTAAAAATGGCATCGAATGGCGTTTCGTACTTTTTGTCGCTCCAGCCCTCATGCTCATGTTTATTGATGTGTACAGCACTCCACTCAAGAGTTGAATTGTTCCTTCGTTCTATTGTTTTTTTTTCTTCGTGCGATTTTGCTGTAGCCATTTCGCGTCGTCTACATTTCTACATCTTTGTCATTTCTACATCTTTGTCATTTCATTTATTTTATTAGTTTTGATGATAACATTTTTTCGTTGACGTTTGCCATTTATTTTATCCGATTTTTATTGCGTATATTGTTCAGAGACACCGACACATGTCGCTCTTAAACATATTATGAGTAAAATGCTCAAATTTCTCAAATATTCTCCGCTGACTTTGCACAAATATTACACGTGATATGAATGAGATAGCAGACCAAAAAAAACCAAGATAGGACAGGTAACGTTGCCATGACTTGCGGAAATGGAACATATATACGAAACGTGCGACAACCAAAATGGAGTCGATGTCAAAATCAAATTTACCGCTCCGGGGCGGGACGCCTCTGACACTAAGTATCAAAGCAATTTTCAATTGACTTGACGCATACATGTTTGTTTTAATCAAATGACGAACAAACTTTATAGAAAGAAAAATATCAACCAAAAATTGAATTTCAATCGATTGAACGTGTGTATTTCTTCTCACCACACTTTTTAGGTAGTTCACATCGATAAGACTAGGGAAACCAATTAAACGAAAATAACGAATTCGATTAGAAAACAAAAGTAAATTATAAAATTATTATCACATAAAAAGTAAATTAAGTCACAACAACGAAGCAATGAATCGCCGAAAAAACACGAAATCGATGTGGAGCAAATTTACCTCGCCGTCAAATCACTCGGCAACAAATCTTCTGATCGAGCCGGCCAGTTCAACCACGAAACTACTGCGCGGCAATCGATCGATGGGTGGCTGTGATAATCATAGTTATTATGCGGCAACAGGTAAGGAATTTTTCAAGAATGTTTTCCCACCAGAATAAATCGTCTGCTGAATTAAAAGTTTGGATATTTCGGGACGAATTAATCACGAACTTTTTTTCTCTCTCTCTCTCTCCAAAACAGCCGCAATCATCCCTGCTGCTGCACGGACGGCATCAGCACACGGTTCAACATCAGCGCAAACCACACAACAAATTTATGGTGCCAGCAATGTGGTGGCGGGACGATCATCGCCGGGCACACTGACTGGCACAAGTGCAGCTGCCTTATCGTTTGCTGCGATGGAACAGATGCATATACAAAATCGATTGTATTCAGCATAGCGAATCACGATTGAGGGCAACGAACAATGGTATCGTGGCCCACTCAAAGCGGCCTTTTTAGGTGCAAGAGGTGTGGGAAAAACCAGCTTACTTGAGGTTAGTTTTCGGAAAAAATAAACTATTTTTGGTGTACGCGCACTCAGTAACTCCATCACAGAACACAGCACAGCCTCTTGAATATTAAATGGTGTTCCATTGTGAAATCATATCTCAAAGCACACTTTAGTGTTCGCTCGCAATTATCGTACGAGCGAATGAGTTTGTTTTTTTTCGCCACTTTGATACGCACACGTATATAACAAAAGTAAATTAGCCGAACGACCGTCGTTGTTGTAGTACCAAAACAAGAAATCAAATTATCCAACTATTAAACTATGTGTGTGCCACTTACCGGTGGTGGTATAGTATATCAGTATACTCTTACACCGTATTAAAATATTTTCCGTCTTCATAATCAACTTAAGAAACTTTTTTTTCTTAATGAGACGAAGGAGAAAAACGACCGAACATAGAATGGCCATCGTTTAATTAAACCATATTAAATGGAACTTAATGTGCGCTACGCGCGTGACACCAAACCATTTAACTCAACGTAATTTCTCTTGGCCGGGGCGGCCAGCACAGCAAAACGTGAACGACTTTGTTCCATTTGATAAAAGTGCTTGTGGAGATGAAAGTCTTTCTTTTTATTTTCTGCCGATGCTGCTGCTGCTCAACACGCAATCTTCTTTGTGCCAATTCTTCACGCGTTTCTCGCATAAACTTTTCGAAACGGATACACACAATGGTCCTGAATTTTTGTTTCAATTGGCTTTAATATTAACTATTGTTCCACATGCGCTTTTCCGTGCACGAAAGTTAGCCAAAATTTTCCAACTAATTTCATCGATGCTCACCCGCGTCTCAGGACCAAGAAAACTAAATAGAATACTTGAAACGAACGCGAATAAGTGCACACTACACATTTCACAAGCAACCAGTTATTAATCTTGAATAAAATGCCGAAGAAGAAAAAAGGTTGCATGAATCATACTAAGTAAACTGGACGGAATCCAGCATGATTTTTCTAAATGGCAAATAAATTGCATTTCATCGTCGATTCTTTTGTCGATAAAGAAAGAATGAGGAGATGGATGAGCGAGAAAGAAACAGAGAACGAGAAATGGTAAAGGAATGGAAGATGAAACGAGAGAGATGGAGCTGTGGATATAGGGCGGGAGAATTCACACTCATATAGAGGTAGGGAGGGGAGAGGATGCGAAAGCTTCCATTGCTAACAAAGCGAACAAAGAGAAGAATACCAATCAAAAATGGTCCAAAATAGATCCATATTTTCCATCGTGCAATGTGAACGAATAAAATTGCTCGTGTGTTTTCTTCTTCTTCTATCAATTACAAGGCTTCAACGATGCGTCTCAAAATTCAGGCATTATGCTCTTGTGCTCGCAGTCTTCACATTCCACTCATATTATAAATTTTATTTCAACATTGGCTATGTTTTCCTTTCAACAAATTTTCTC